AAACAACATCCCACCTTCATCCATTTTAAAACCCCAAATATACCAACAGACTAGTTAGCTTTAGGACAACAAAATTGCAATTTTTGAGTGGTCATCAAAAAGCAGGCAACCAACCAACTTTCATAGAAAGTTTATGTGCAGAGCTCAAATGTAAGCAGGAAATCCAACATACCTGACTCAGTTAGACCAGTTCTGTCTGCAGGAAATGGCACAAATTCCAGCAAAGTGTTGAGAGAAGCGGTTTGAAAGATGTCCAGAATGTCAGACCCAAACCCACAGTCATGAAGCGGAATGAAATGCATTGGATATTTTAAACTTTTATAACAAATAAAAAACTGAAAAATTGGCTGTCCAAAATTATTCAGCCCCCTTGAATTCATACTTTGTACTTCGTAGCTTCTTATGCTGCAACTACAGCTGCAAGTCACTTGGGTTATGTCTTGATCAGTTTTGCACAGTGACAGACTGACATTTTTATCCATCCTTCCTTGCAAAACAGCTCAAACACAGTGCGGTTGGATGGAGAGCGTTTGGCAAATTCTAGTCTGATGAGTAGAACTAAAGAAAGAAGGATATAAGGAGAGTTATTAGAAACATTTTAAACGGAACCCTCTGCCTTGTGATAAAAAAAAAAGAAGGACTTTTATTTGACTTTGGGTGGAACCTCGCCCATATTAAGAAAACTGTTAGAAATACATACAGTAGTTTATTGAAATATTACCAGAATATTCTCTATTAACCGCAGCCATGTCTGCTATGATATAAAGATTTCATAATGTCCCTAAATATATTCTTTTCTTAAAACAAAACCAAAAAAATAATTCTGCGAAGGGTAACTAATTAAAGATAAGAATAAAGACATTTATTAAACACATTTATTAAAAACATATTTGATGATACAATTCCCTGAATGTTTTCAGAACACTAGGAACACATGAGAAACACTACAAGTGTTAACACAAGTCTCTCAAGAGACTTTCATTTTAATGTTACTTAGTGAATATTAAGATGAATAAAAACAGATTTTTTATGAAATCATTACCAAAATATTATCTGTTGATCAGCAATATGTCTGCAAAAGTATGCATTTTTCATCATGTCTCAGAACCTTTTCAATATTTTAAAAATCCATATTTCATAATAAATAATGCTCTTCCATGAGCATGTAGACGGCCATGCCCTTTGCATGCCCTTGCTTGTGTCTGTGGGCTGCGTACATGACTTTTTGCAGAACTTGCTCCCAAAGTGGCCTGCATGATGATCTGCACATATTAGTCGGTCCAAACCCTGAAAAAGTCTGCTGTTATAGGTGTGGACTGGTGATAAACAACATTTTTTGAACATCTTCCGAAGAAGCAGAAAACTAATCTGCATTTTAGTACAGAAAAAAATCAAGCTTGAGACCAGATGTGAGGAAACGACTTGTTCATTCTACCTTTCAGTTGTGGATTATGCAGACTTCTCTACTTGAATGCAGTTTCTTTAGCCAGTGACTGCTTGGACACACCTTATCGCAGTGAACAATGCTCCATCACCAATTCTGCATTCAGGACCCATCATTGCTGTTCTTTGTCCTCTCATGGCCTTCATTAAAACTGAGAAGACAGAAGCACTGGCTAATATCCATTTATAAAGCCATTTTGGACTCTGCCCTCCTACATTAGTCATTCTGCAAGGATTACAACTCATCCAATTCTCACTGGTCCAAAGTTCTTTACAGATCTGGACAAAACGTTTATCCAGTAGTTTCCCTTTGGGCAGCTTCAGTTTTATATTCACCTGAGCACTTTTGAATGTATTAGAAATATTACATACTTTTTGGTGCCTCTTAGTCAGGTCTTCCAAGAAAGAAAAAGATTTTATCTGGGACTTCCTGGACCACATCCATCATGGACAACACCTCTCATCCCCCTGCACCAGACTGTTGAGCAGCTCTTTAATCTCGTTACACCCTGTTTGTAAAAAGTAGTGCTGTTTACCTTCAGAACCATCATTCATCTCTGCTGCCATCAGACTTGATGACAATGCAGCACTATAACGGCAATAACTTGTGCAATCACTAATATGAAATCACTATGTAATACCCCTGTGCATTAACCTATTTATATTTAATACCCTGTTCAATAAGGGTATTAAACTACATGTGCAATAACCCTGTGTGTATATATATATATACCGTATATACCCCATGCACCAATTCCTTCTTTCTTTTTTACTATTGATTGGATGTTACAAGTTAATTTCTCCACTGTGAGATCAATAAAATCAATCAATCAATCAATTAAATAAAAAATAAAACAAAAAAACCCTAAACAGCAAGAGATATCTAAAAACTAAACTTTAAAATATTTGTTGTAAAATACTTAAATTTACAGATATTTAACCATCTAATTCTAATTATAAATTCTAGTAGATAGAGTAAACCATGATAGCTGCTAAAAAGCTACTTCAAATATACATATTGATAGCAACATTGACTTCTTTGTTGAGAACCCTTAAAACATCACATATTTTCAATGATATAACATATGGAATGACATACTTCAGAAATGTGGTGCAGTGGAAGAACTTCTCTATGTCCTCATGACCCAGACACTGATATCATAAACAAAGCTTCAAGTTTTCCACGTCCACCTGACAGCATCATACGCAGATATTCTGAATGCTTTTTCCTTACAAGGAGTTTTCCAAACCGGTTTGTGTTATTTTACCTAAATCGTAATCTTAAGATTCAAAATAAACTGTAGGTGCCAATATTTTTTGTTAATAATAAACTAAGTTTTTAGTTATTGTGAATAATCTAGTTTTATTTATTTGAGATTATGTTTTTTGGTTATCTAGTTATGTTTGATTTCTGGTTAGTTATGAGCATTTTGGGCAAATTAAGTTTATGAAAAGGCTCTCATTGCAGGACCAGCATGCATCTCGGTGGGTGTATGTGTTTTTACCAGCGCAAGAGAAGCATGGAGGAAGTGATTGTCCTTTTCTGTTTGCTTGCTTAAGGTGAAATATACCACGAAAACTAAAGAACTTTACCTGGAAAATCGACTTCTTTTTGCCTGGGTAAAATACTTGTCCATGGTTCATCTGTGGGCCACAACATGAACTGTACCCATCACATTTCTGCAAACTCACCACCTCTGACTGTGTTGTATTGTTTTAATGAGAGTGTGGGCATGGGTTTGCACCACAGGTGCTATCACCCCTCTTCTCAATGGGTCTCTGATGCCTCCACCCCCAATAAAAAAGGATGTTTTCCCACCCCAAATCACTGTGAGATAATTCTTACACATGATTACTAAATATTGTATAAAAACTCACATATAATTGAGTTTAAAAAAAATAAAAGCATGGAAAACATCTAGTGATGAGAGAAATTGCTTTTGCATTCTGACCAAAGGCTGATATTGTTTCGCTGTCAGCCCTTAAGAATAATGAAGCCTTGCTGTGTTTCATCTAACTATGGGGGTAGCTGCTAACCTGACAACAGCCAGACATGCATCTGGCTGTTGTCAGGTTAGGTAGCTGCTGCTTTATGAGGCCCTATTGAGGAGCCCTGAGGTGTCACTCCTGGTAACCCCCCAGGCTTCCCCCTCTTGCTGATTCCTTTCTGTTTCACACCTCCAGGTGGGACTATTATTGTGATGGAAGGTCACTCCTCCCATCAGAGAAAGGCCACTTTCCATGAATATCACACCTACTTGTTGTTTTCTTGACCAGTAAAACATGGAGTTCACACAGATACAGTTACTTACTGGTCACAGACGGTTCCGATGGTAAACAAAAAGAAACAAGATCTTACTACCGTTTAGATAACATGACGGCAATCAAACTGTGAAAACTAGCTTTACTAAAATTGGTTAAAACATTCAATAAATGAAAAATGTGACCAATAAAAAAATAGATTGCTGTTAATACTAATTCAGCTTCTGCTGAGGGTTCTACCTGTTAAAAGGAAGTTTTCTTTACTTATGTCACCACATGTATGGTCAGAATGAGGGACTGGTGCAAAGTCAGCAGCTTAATGCAGTCAAATGTGCAACAAGCTCGGTAAGCTGGAAGGAAAGCTGCCATAGGATGAGACTTATACTATTTCTTTCTGAGGATTTTATTTTGCAACAATGTTTGAATTGAATTATCAGAGACCGACTTTGGATCTGCCTATAGGATTTAATTGAATTGGGACTTAGACTTTGTCTAAGTTTAAGAAAATATTAGCAACTTTGCTTTAAAAAAATCTTGTTCTAAGGGTATATTACCTGAAAAATATAATGGACACAACTAAAGAAAGGGGGTAAAGTATTTAGAGACATTCATAGGGATTCAAATGCTCTACTGGCCAGAATACAGCACCATGTCATCAAACAATTTACTGAACATCTGTATATTCCTTCTGCAACCAAAATGGCTCTAATTATCACTGCTCACAGTGCAACTGCAATTTGAGGTAACACAATTTAAAAAAAGCAACAATTGCTTACAAAAGGCAAGAAAGGAAGTCATGGGAAAACGTGGCCAACCGCCACCAAGATGAGTATTTTTATTGCTTTTTAATTTAATTTCCCTAAAAGAAGGCCCCAAATTATTCAGACTCCTGTCAGATTTACGTTAAACTTAATTTCTCAAGTCGGCTTCTTCTGAATGGGGAAAAGAATTTATGGGAAGCCCAACTAGAATTGTTGACATTTTCATTGCATTTCTGAATTACATATAAATGGGTCCTAGACAGATTTATTTTAATTCTTGTGCCAAGGTTTAACTAAAATAAGTTGCATTTACATCCTGGGTGCCCTTGGATGTGTCCTTGTAACAATCACATGATGCAGTTATGCCCCCTACTGACAAACACAAGTATTGCTTTAGAAAAAGAAAAACACAAGAGATGTGTTAATTTCCAAAAAGTCTTTTTTTAAAGAGCCAAAATGCTAAAAACAAAAACAAACAAACAAACAAAAAAAAAACAACAACAAAAAAACAGTAAAGACCACAAGTCAGTTTTTTAATGTAGTTAATATAAATATAAGTGTTTTAATTTCAAAGTATGTCTACAGTTATGGCTTTACAGTTATTTTTTTTAATCTCAAAACATATTTTAATAGGAAACTACCTTTATAACAAGCTCAAATATTCAAACTACTTCATAGGAATAAATAACATCTTTCTTGTTTCATGCATGATTTTTTTTTTATATTACAAAAAATACTACATATAAATCACTGAATATCCATGAATGTTAAACACTTGAAGGTCATTTGCACGTAGACAGAATCTCCTGACAGCTCTTGTAAATTTTCACTAAGCAGTTGAGCCTGGGCTTGGAGCTCTGAAAGATAAGAATCAAACACGAACATTGTTTTTAGAGGACTGATACAGAACAGTGATTTAAAATAAGCTCTACTTGATGCATTGACATCCAGGATTTTAACTCACCTGAAACAAGGTGACAACACTCGACACTCCATGGGGTTCTGAGGGGTCCCTCAACAGCACACACAAGTAGTAGATGATCTGGTGCTGAAATAAAAGCACAAACAACCAATTGGTTCTACAGCTAAAGCTTGGACCCATTTGGTTCATGCATCACAGTGCAACATAGCCCCCAAACAGCAACACATCTTTTGCTGGATTGACTCAAAGTTCAAACCTGCAAGCAGCTGTGCACAAATGAATGCCAGTGAGCAGCTATGTTGTGTTATTGGAGTTAGACTTCAGAAGATTCTTCAAGTTACAGATTTAGGGCTGCAACTAATGATAATTTTTCAATTCAATTAATGTGTCAATTGTTCTTTCGATTATTCTATAATAATCGGACAGCCAAAGGTTCCTTAAAGAAGATTTTTTTTACTGAATTAAAACAGGTGAAACTACAATGTTTCCACTTGAGGAGTTCTGTAAAGAGCATATTGACAGACAAAACATTTTTTTTCTATTTTGTAAATGTAAAATGTTTACATATTTCTTTTACAATCTTGGTAAAATTATTGATCTGAGTGGATCGCTCTGTCAGCTAAAGGCATGTTGTAAAGTCTCTATACTCCAGTTAAAATTAAATTTATTACTAAATTTGTTGAAGATTATTCCAATAATTGATTCATCACGATTAATCCAATTAGTTGTATCACATAATTTTTCTGTATTCTGATACACACTAAATCCTTAATTTAAAGTGATGGTACTTCACTTTTTCCACAATCACTTCATGCACTTACGCACCAAGTAAACGGCTTCATTGATGACAATATCTTTGATCTTGCTCATCTCGATGAAAGTGGTGACCTCGCGACCTGATGCATAGCTGGAAGACACCTGGATGCCCAAGGAGCCAATGACGAGAAGGGACTCATGGTCCACCTTCACAAAGTGGATGTGAAGCATCATTCCCACCAGGGTGATAAGTATAGCACTGGAGAGAACTGCAGTGTTCTAAAAGACAGGGGAGACAACCACATACAGGTAAATATGGGCAAAATAATAATAATTTAGGTTATTCTGAAAACTTACATGTATGTATCTTCTGATATTTACAGAATTCTAAGATTTAAAGACCTTGAATAACTGACATGCAAATGAGATAATTAAACAGTGTTAACCATTGGATTAGACAGAAATGACAAAAGGATAAATAATGCAGCAAAATCAGAAAAAAACACAAAACACTTTCAGATGTGGAACTTAATTTCCATATACCATACTTTAGGCTACAATAGAATGTAATATGCCCTTTGAATGTGTAAATATTACTTTTTTTTAAAGAGCTCGGGTCATAATTTAGTAATAACCGCCTTACCTGCGTGAAGAAGAACACAGTATAAGCAAAAAGCCACACAGAGCAGGTGTACACCATCACTTTACCGATGGATATCTTTGGGGTGCTAACAGTGAACTCCCTACAAAAGCTGGAGTGGCTCTGACAATCCAAGGATATCGGTTTGCCGCTAATATTACAGAAGGATTCGTCCTCCATTGCGAATGAAACAAAAAACGGAGTGCGCACCCAGCAAAAGCAAGCATTCAGTGAAAAAGCAGAGCTAACGTTAGCCGCGAGCTAACATTCAGAACCAAGGTTAACAACAAGCTATGCTAACTTAAGGTAAAAAAAAAAGCCTTAACGACAGGGGAAGGAAAAAGCTAACAGAATAATGTCAGTTGGTTTCTTTTAAAACTGAGAGGTAAATTCTTCATCTCATATAAAAAATACATATATATTTCAAAGAGAAGTGCAGCTGGCTGAAATGTTGGTGCCGAAATCAATCTCAACTGTTGCTGCAATGTTTTTCACACCAGAGCGTCCAGCTTCAACCGAAGGCGCCATAACATCCAGATATGGGCTTTATTTTGAAACATTTCATTTCTAACAGCAGCTATTAGCCTAGTTGAAACTTATATTCACACAAGATGAAATATGGGTATGTATAAGGGAAGTCAAACGTTATAGAGGAAGAAAATGTACAGGCCATTTGCAAATGGATGGGATACGTATGCCGTATTGTGAGTGGCAAGATAACTTTTCTCAAACAACGGCTGAACAAATAAATGTAATTTATTTTAATGGATTGTGTTTATGCTCCGTACTGATATCGCTTGTTGTGTTTTATTCTAAATTGCCGCTGTTCTTTAACTGCAAAAAAAATAATCTTAAAATGAATAAATATTTCTTAAAATAAGTGTATTTACCCTTCGATTGAGTAGGTAAATCAGCCAATATTCCAATGGAATCGGTATTTTTACTGATATGCACTTTAAATAAGAGACTGTAGTTTTTTCTTATTTTAGATCTAAACGGTCTTATTACATTTGCAAAGTATCTCGCCTGCTCTCAAGGGCTACAAAACGCTACTTATTTTAAGGAAAAACATGTGTTTTCTATTCTATTCCATCCTCGTCACTCTGCGCATCGGTGCACGCCGGTGTTTACCACAAACACACCGTAAAGCAGCTGTGAGGAGCAAAGGATTATGGGTAGGCTAAAATGAATTGTCATAAAGTTCTCAATACACCTTTTTAATCTATTGGTAGAGTTAAAGCAGATATAGATTTTTAAAATTCACAATACAATAGAATATGTTAATCAATCGCATTGAGCAGCTGAACTCGTGAAATAAAAAATAAATAAATAAACTCCATTACCCATCATGCACTTAGTTTTCCACTTTTGACCCTTGTGTTAAAAACAAGCCGATCAGCTGCAGCTTCTAGGGGGGCTGCTGATAAAACATAGCTTAGCTCTGCCGACAGCAGGTAAATGTGGCGGTAGGCAGGATGGTCCTCGGCTGACAGGGGCAGTTTTAGCCCGAGTCCAGACAGCGTCTATAACCTGGAAACCCTCCGTCAGTTGGAGCTGTTAGCTCAGCGGAGTGAAGTGAAGGTAGGCTGCTTGTTTCTTTGTGTTGAGGCGGCTGTTAGCTAACGGCTGTTTATTATTGAGCTAGAGGACCTTTTGACACTCAGCACCATCTGGTGATTAACTTCGCATCCTAATGTTACCTAACAGATTTTTTTATTCTATGGCATTGTTTTCAATTTTGTTTCCTAGTATTTCTTTTACTTCAGACTGAGCAATTTTTTTTTATCATTAACAGGATGCTAGAAGATAGAATTTACTTTGTTTGTTAGTTTTTGACAATCAGTAATGTTTGAGAACCAAATGATTCATGATAGATTATTATAAACTTATCCTGAAATTAGAAATTAGCTTTGCACACAGAGATTCTTTATTGCAAAATACCTCAAGCTCATTCAGATTGATAGATAACAAATGAATAAAATAGAATAGAATTCAACTTTATTTTCTTTACAGTGTCACAAATATAGAGCAACGAAATCACCTCGCAGCATTTCACCCATCCTCTTGGGGAGCAGTGGGCTGCCATTGTGTGGCGCCCAGGGAGCAGTGTGACTTTAAGGGTCTTTCTCAGGCCCTTAACCCCATGCTCAATGCCCTAACCACTAGGCCACCACTCCCCTAAGTGAATATCAACTTATTTGTTATCCATTTTATCATTCATTTTGACCAAATTCCAGCTGCTTTGGAAAAGTTTCCCCACAGTATGATGCTGCCATCAACATGTTTTGGTCTGAGGTGCAGTATTTTCTGCCTTAACATAGATTTCTGTGGGTCCAAATTATATTTTTTTCCTTCAAATATGGCTTTTTAAATGCTTTTGCCTCCATGAAAGCCAGATCTATCTGGAATACACAACTAATAACTGTGCTTTTCACAGATCTGCTTCTCAGATTAATTATTAAACAGTCCAGCGTGAGTTTCTCAAAGCCCGGGGTATTTTTCCAGACTTTAACCAAGCTTTAAAGTTCTTCACAACATTTTCACTCGCTTGTTTGTCTTATTTTTATTTTCCTCTTCATGACCAAGTCTGTTGGCTGAGATTCATCTGTACTTGTGTTTTTCTATTGGATTCAACTCCTGGGTTAAATCCTTTTACTGATAAAGGATTATAATGATTGATTTCATTATATTTATGGTTATCAAAGTAAAAGGGTCCACATTTTCAGATTTTAGAGGTAAATCATATATAAACTCCATAAATTTAACAGTTTTGTATTAATACTCCTGCTGCATGCCGTATGTCCTTTATAGGGCTGCAACTAACGGTTATTTTGCAAATAGAATCGATTAATGATCAAATCACAGAATCCTTAAAGAAGATTTTTTTTTATAAAATTAAACAAGGTGAAACTAAAACATTTTCAATTGAGTCACTAGGCTGCACAGATATTTTTGGGGGCAGGTGCTCAGGCTCTAAAAAGGGCACCTTCTACGTCACTTGGAGCTGCAAACAGCCATGAACTTAAGGCTCTGAGTTATCAGGTGCAGGAAACAGATTACACTGTACAAAACTTTACCTTCTACTTATAATAAACATTACATTTTACATGTAATGGCTATTATAAGTCTTTAAATGTGTGAGGATCCCATTTCTTCTACAGTCTCTCTTCTGGAAAGTAGTGAATTTAGGATGTCTCCATCCCCTGGATAAATATCTTTTATAAATATTTGTCACTTGCTCAAAGTTTGTCAGGCAGGTTTTCCAAGGTACAAAGAAATAGAGGAAGTCTAATACAAAGCCCAGGATTCCAGATTATCTAAGTTTATTTTCTGTTTTGAGTGGGTATATATATGACAATTTGAGGACGAACTTAAATTTATATTTAAGATATGAAAAAACTCCCACTCTATTATCCTATTTCAATTGCATAATATTTAATAATCTTATTTAAGGTTACCAATTTTTTTAAATTGTGATCATTTGGCCTTATGTTTGCTTTTATATGAAATGTTTAACAGACAAAAGGTAACATGTGTTGTGTAGTTGTCATAAAAAGACGAGTCGAATCGATGTCATGTTATCTGTTTGACTCATGTATTTCTAGATTTGCTGTAAAAACAGCAAATCAATAATAACATCCATGAGATGCTTTAAATTACATTTTTTTCCGTTTTAAACTGTTCCTTGGCGCCTTGTAGAGGCCATTAAAGACGATATGCTATAAAGTAACCGGTTGGTGAAGGAGGTAAATGCTCTTGTTTGGTTAGCTGGCCCTTCACCAGGGCAAGGCTCTATTGAAATGCTGCTACACGTCTCGTGGAGTTAAGTTACAAAAATCTAGACTTTTGGTTTGATAGGCTTTTAAATTTATAATTTGTATTTCGGGCCAAAGGCTAAAAACAGTAAAAAAAAACAAAAAACAATTTCAGGAAGGCACTTTTTTTGTCTAGAGAGGAAAAGGGCAGGAGCTCCAGCACCACCTAGTGTCTATCTGTGGATGTCCCTGACTTGAGGAGTTCTGGATAGAGTGTATTGACAGACAAAAAAAAAAAATTTTTTTTTCTTAAATGCAAAATGTTTAAATATATTTTTACAATTTTTATATAATTACTGCCCTAATTAGATTGCTCTGTGAGCTAAAGGCATGTTTTAGAGTCTCCACACTCCAGTTGACGATTAATCGATTAATAAATTAGTTTACGATTATTTCAATAATCGATTAATCCCTATTTTACTGTTTTGCTTCAGCCGTTCATTTTTTTTAAACTTACATAATTCAGCTTCCCAGTTGCTCAATTCCTTTGGAAATGATCTGACTTTTCAGGTGTACCATGAGTGGCCAGAGTCCAGCCGTGGATAAAGGAATGAACACTATCCTGGTCTGCCAGGAGAGCTACGCCTGTGGAGGCTCAGACGAGGCCGCGTTTGAATGCGATGAATGCAGCAGCTTGCAGTGTGCCCGCTGTGAACTGGAGCTCCACCGGCAGGAGCGCATGAGGAATCATGACCGGGTTCGGATCACAGCGGGTCACGTTCCCTTCTGCGACTCCTGTAAAGGCAACAACAGCTGCGCTGTCAGACTCAGAGCAGTGGTGCGTTGCCAGGGCTGTAAGATCAACTTGTGTTTGGACTGCCAGAAACGCACCCACGGTGGAGTAAACAAGAGGAAGCACCCTCTGACGCCTTATCCCCCCGCCAAGGCTCCTCAGGACAGTGGTGTAACTGACGGGGAGATGGAGATCTTCAAACTGAAGCTTGAGAAGGTGTGCAGCTTCCTGTTGGTTGACGAGAGGGAGGAAATGCAGGTAACATCCACTAAAATTGATCAGACTTTAAGCAGCAGCTTCATCTTTAAATCATGTTTTCATTTAAAGTGATATAATTCGGATTCTTAGGTGAACAATGAGGAGGACTTTGTCAGCAGACTGGGCTGCAGCCCAGATGAACTGCTCAAGGTGGTCTCCATATTTGGCAACACTGGGGAGGGAAAATCTTACACCCTGAACCACACTTTCTTCCTTGGGAGAGAAGTATTTAAGACATCCCCTACACAGGAGTCCTGCACCGTGGGTGTTTGGGCAGCTTTGGACCCCATTCATAGAGTTGTAGTCCTTGACACAGAGGGATTGCTCGGGGCTGGTATGGCATAAAATAATTATTTGCTTGGTTATTTACTCAGTTCACCCTTTTAAATGACCTTTAGTAACCGCTTTTTTTTCTCTCTAATCAGGAGCTAATCAAGGTCAGCGGACCAGACTGCTCCTAAAGGTCCTAGCTATCTCTGATGTGGTTATCTACAGAACCCATGCAGACCGTCTCCATGATGATCTCTTTAAGTTCCTTGGAGACGCATCAGACGCCTACCTAAAACACTTTTCTAGGGAGCTGAAGGTAACCACGGCCCGCTGTGGTCTGGATGTTCCCTTGTCCACACTGGGTCCTGCGGTGATCATTTTCCATGAGACCGTCCACACCAAGCTTCTGGGATCAGGTATCCTATCAACTGGTTTGGATTTAAATCAAATCCTTTATTAGTATTCGAGCTACCTAAATTAAGCCGTTCTTCTCTCTACATCTGTCCATATTTAGACAAACCCTCTGAATCTGCTGAGCGTCTGCTCCAGGACCGTTTCAGGAAACTGGGGCTTTTCCCCGAGGCTTTCAGCTCCATCCAGTACCGCGGGACTCGCACCTACAACCCTCCCACAGACTTCAGTGGTTTGCTGCGCAGCCTGGAGCAGCAGCTGGATAACAACAACACCCGATCACCGCGCTCTGCAACCGTTGTCTTCAAGGCTCTTCAGGTGTTGATGCTAGTCATAGATCCTCCATATTTGTCTCTTGAATTCTTAACCTAACCCGCTGCTTTTGTTCAGGCCTTGAGTGAGCGTTTCTGTGGGGAGATTCCAGATGAGCAAATGACCAGTAACTCCTTTTTCCCAGATGAGTACTTCACCTGCTCCAGCATATGCCTCAGCTGTGGGTACGTAGCCTCTAACAGGAAGTTACTCCTTGTATGTGACCTTAATTAGAAATAAATGATTCAATCTCCAAACATTTCTCAACCTACAGATCAGTGCAAAGCTTTTTATTGATTTTCTTCTAACCTTTTCAAGTCTTATGCTTCAGCTGTAAACTTTATTGTGATTTATTTTGTTTTTATGTGCTAGACTGACACAAAGTTGTGCATACCGGTAATTGTGAGGCAGGAAAAAAACCCCAAACCAATAATTTGCTTTTGTTTTAGTGTCATTATCCCCTGAAAGGTGAACCTCTACCTCACTCCTATGACTTCTGCAGCCTCTACCTGCTTTTCTTCCAGTATTTAGCCCCACATGTCTTCTCAGAAACTCTGACTAGCTTCCCTGTTCCTGCTGAAGAAAAGCAGGGGTCTATAACCTTTAAAATTAAAGAGCTATTTATTACATCAGCTTCTAATAAAACACTACTTATTATTTTTGGTAAATATAGAGGCAGTTGGAAATCTGTTGCCATTTTAAACAAACAATTTATTTGTATTATTAGGTTTTAAAACAAGCTAAAACATATATTGTTTTATGGAAAGGAGCCCTGGACTTTCTTCTAAAGTACATTATTTTATGTTTAAAAAAATAATTATTATTTACAAGCTAATGGAAAAGAAACCTAAAAACATATTTATGGTGTTTTTAATGTAACTCTACTGTGGAATTTATATTGAAGTTTTCTGCTAAAAACTGCTAAAGCTTCTAAGACTGGTGTTTACTATCATACGATATTCATAACCATTATTTTTAGTCACTATTAAGAGCTAATGTGGAAGGTCCAAAGAGTTCCTGCCAGACTGTTATATTATAATAAGATGACTTTATTTAGGAGTATCAGAGTTGGTGGGGAATTGAATGCAAATCTAAAAAAGCAATACTTTTTTGGTATCTGAACTTTTGTAAATTACAGAAAACTAAAAAGTGTTGAATATAAACTTGGTTTCTTTTTGCAGATCAGGTTGCAAGAGAAGCATGAATCACCTAAAAGAGGGAGTCGACCACGAAGCCAAACATCGCTGCCGCTACTCTGCGCAATCAGACAACCGCATCTACACTTGCAAGGCAAGTAAAGTAGAGCAGAAGAGCAGTTTAGTTTTAAATGTAATTGTTTTTTTAAGGTGATTAATGTCTGTTTGGACTCACTCAGGCCTGCTATGAAGGGGGGAAGGAAGTGATAGTGGTTCCCAAAACGACGGCGTCTTCTGACTCACCGTGGTTTGGCTTGGCTATCTACGCCTGGTCGGGGTGAGTCGCAGAGGACTTTGTTCGGAAAAAGATGAAGTTCTTTCACAGATTAATTCAAAAAAATAAATAAATAAAAAATAGAAAAAGGAGATTTTTAATCTTTCCTGGTACTGAAACTAATGTATTTCTTCAGATATGTAATCGAGTGTCCGAACTGTGGAGTGATCTACAGAAGTAGACAGTACTGGTATGGAAACCAGGATCCAGTGGAAACTGTGGTGAGGACGGAGATCCAGCACATCTGGCCTGGGGTAAGATCTGCGCTCAGTGAGCCAGGAGGGGGGCGGGCAGGTTTTAAAAGCAGTAGTTTGGAAGAGTTAAAAAGTCCTTCTCTTCTGTGATTCTCCATCTTTGTACCTTTTTTCTGCTTTTTAGTCTGATGGCTTTTTGAAAGACAACAACAATGCTGCTCAAAGGCTGTTGGATGGAGTCAAATTCATTTCTCAGTCTGTGTCTGAACTCAGCGTCAAACCGGCCAAAGCGGTCACCTCCTGGCTGACCGACCAGATCGCTCCCTCCTACTGGAAACCCAACTCTCTGATCTTGGTAAGCAGATATAAATGATTACTGTGGCTTTTCTTTAAGAACACATGGTATAAACTTACAGGAATAACTGAAATGTATTGGTTCCCCTTTATTTGTTTTATACTTATTTATTTGCTTTATATATGCAAGAACTGCCATAAATGTGGGGAAGAGTTTCAGCCCAATGACACGAAGCACCACTGCCGTGCCTGCGGAGAGGGTTTCTGCGACGCCTGCTCCTCCAAAACCCGGCCGGTCCCGGAGAGGGGCTGGGGGCTGGCGCCAGTCCGCGTCTGCGATGCCTGCTTTCAAAACAGAGGGATCTCAACTGGTAAGAAATAATAGACCCTCCAACATGGACTGTATAACAAACTGATTTAATGATATTTAAATGCAATAAAAAGGTGGAACGGCTTAGAATCTAATGGTTGTTTGACCCTTTTTTTTTTTTCTTAACTACATTCCTGGCAGAACTGACATAGTCCAGGGAAATGGTGTCAGAGATGTGCTGTCTATCTTTAAATAACAAGCATTGGAATCAGGCTTTTCGTTATCTGCTGGGTGATTGGCGCCACCTGTAGACTGGGTTTAGTATTTCCCTTGTTTCCAGACACTGTTATTCCTTGGAAAAATCTGCACTGCACCTAAATTACATGTAAATACATATATATCTATATAAAACATACATTAAAGTCTAAACTGAGCTCAGTAACTGGACTTCATTATGTTTTATTAATTAATAAATGCACCATTGCACTGCATTACATTGCAAACTACATCATTTACCTACTTAAATTAAGGGTAAATACATAATTTAAGAAATTTTTACTTATTTCTAGATCGTTTTTTCAGTGCTGAACAATGAAGAGGAAATTAGAAATAATTCCCTCAGTTGAGCACTGTTTTTGCAGTTTTTATACATTGTTTATTGTATTTAATGTGACAATAGTTAAACATTTTTATGAATATAGAAACGTATCACAATAAGGATCAATGGTGTGATAAAGGCGTACCCTTACTCTAAATATATAGGAATTTGACCTTGTGTGGGTGGTAAAAAACCCAGCATGAATTCCACTTTGAGTACCAATTACTTTATGTAGAGTCATGGATATGCTTTTACCATTTCATTGTTCCATCTGAAACGCAGGAAAAGGTTTAAAGATATTAAAAACTGAAGATCACTATGGAAATAATGCCAACACTGATTGTATGTGAACTTGACTGGAAAAAAGGAAATCATTGTGCTAACAGACAGCAGTTTTTTAGCGTGTTGTGTGATTGGTTATCCTCTGCTTTCAGAGCTACTTGATGCTGCCTTAGAGGAAGAAGGAGGTACCCTGATAGCAAGAAAGGTTGGAGAGGCGGTTCAAAACACTTTGGGTGCCGTAGTTGGTGCCATTGACATACCTTTAGGTAAGTGGTACATCTGCCTTTACTATAAGGTCAAAGGTTTCATCCAATTAAATTAGTGCAAATTTAATTATATTTTTTAAATAGCTACTTATTCAAAAAGGATTTTTTTTTTTCTAGGTTTAGTAAAAGACGCTGCTCGTCCTGCATACTGGGTCCCAGACCAGGAAATCGAGTTCTGCTGCGAGTGTCGCAGGGAGTTCACTCCACGTCTGTCCATCCACCACTGCCGCGCCTGTGGCAAGGGCGTCTGCGACGACTGCTCCCAGGAGCGCCGCCCCGTGCCGTCCCGTGGCTGGGACCACCCGGTGCGGGTCTGTAATGGCTGTGTCCAGAAATCTGGGGAACTCTAGCAGGACACCTAGCTGGACTGATTAAATGGCACAAGACCTCCCAAGAACACTAGAGGCTAGAACCTCATACCGTCCTTGAAGCTGCGGGAAAACAAACCAGTCTAACACTTTGATCGGTTTCATCAGACTGACTTCTATATGCCTAAAATTCACACAGTGAATACCTGTTAAAATAGACTTGACTTGAATATTAGGATGGGGGCAGAATTCAGGCTGCTCTTATTGTAGCTCTCTAGTAACCCCCATCACTGTAGATTTAGGCTCCTCAACCCTTTGACAATCACGTCCTGTATGACATTCTCATACTTTTAGCACCTTTTAGTGTAGTTTGGGGCCATTTGTTTATAGAATTTAAGCAAAACTTAAACTGTAGTTGCCATATGCCTGCAAAAAAGTTCTTCCAGCTCCTCGAAGTTTCCCGTTACCCTTATGCCAGCTCTTCTGCCTCCTTCATGGCTGACGGGTAATTCTGTTGCACCAAGATGCATTCCAAACATTAAAACCTAATAGCTATATAAAATATATTATAAATAACTGTATTATTCAGTGGTATACACTCAAGTGGCCCTTTACACTTTTAAAAGAAAGATATAAAAACATATACATGAAAAAGTCTTACTAGAATGGTGACATTTTTAAATGGACTCCTTTTTATCTTAAAAACTAGAATATAAACACAGGGTTTAACCAGTAAATAAAAACCTATTTGAGGCTGGCTCCTCAAACTGAGAGACATGGGAGCTTTTAGTGAGCAGTGTTTGCATGTGTTGCAGATGGAATCATTCAATGAATAATTCTGTCTTAATGTTTTTTTGGTTTTTCACAGGATATCTGGTAATTGAGTTTTAAATGTATGGATTGAGACATGACTGTATGGAAACTGGTTTGGTCATTAAGTCATCGGGTAAATTACAGACTTTATGACTTGAGTCAGTTCTTCTCTTATCATCAGGTGATGTGACATGGAACCAGTCATCGACTTGTGTTCATGTAGTTCTCATTTATTATGTATTAAAATGGCAGAAACACTTCTCATTTAGAAGAACTGGTGGTCATGTTTATATTTCCATTGAAGCAGGTTCATCACTCTTAATAATCAGATGAGCTGAAACATCTTTACAGAAAGCACTTGAAGAACTTCTTTATTTTGTAAAACAAAACGATCCCCTGAGGTTTAAAGGTCACCTAGATGGTCTTTCTGGTCCAGGTGCTTCCAAGGAAGTTGGAACATGTATTTTCTTTTTTTTTTTTGTCCTGAAAAATCAAAACATTCTAAAAGACACTGAGATTAGAATTTATAAGGATGTAAAAGTTATTATTATACAATCATCAAACCTTTACTTCGAACTAAGAAAATCAAAACATTTCATTTATTTTCTATTTTATGTAGAACTTAAGATTTTTTTTTCACCATGTAAACACAAATTTTGAAACAATTTACTTTGGCCTATTGTAACAGACCAACACCAAGTAGCAGATAAGTTTTAAATTCTTTAAAAAATATAATCAGAAAAGTGGGACATGCAAACTCTTCTATTTTGATAAACCTGAATGAAATAATCTGGAGTGGACGAGAGGTAAACCTGGAG